CGTCTAACTTTACATTGCAAATGCTATGCAAAATTACACAGTAGAATTATTGAAAATACTAAGTGAATTGTAGAGTATATTCTAAGAATTTCCCAGAGGGAATCCCTAAAGAGGTATTCTAAGGTTGTTTTCAAAGAAAATTTCAAGATAATGCCAGAAGGAATTATAAAATGATTTTGGGGAATCCTGAAAGCAACTCTGAAGACATCTTGGGCTGATTCTAAGGAAATTCTTGAGAAAATTCCATAGATATCTTCTTCTTCTTCTTCTTCGCATTTCAAGCTTATTGCATATCGCATATTAGCTTATTGCGTGCTCTCATACTTAGTGTTGTAGATGCACTTCGACAGTTATTAATTGAGAGCTTTCGATACCTGTACCATTTTTGCATCGGTATAATTGTGTGGCAAGTCCAATCATACTTCTATGCCCAGGGAAGTCGAGAAATTTTCCAACCCGAAAAATTCCTAGACCGGACCGGGAATTAAACCCAGCCACCTCCAGCATGGTCTTGCTTTGTAGCTGCGCCTTTACCGACAGAGCTAAGGGAGGCCCCTGATATATCCTATGAAGAATTACATCTTGAAATTATCTAGGTAATTCGAGCATCGAAAATTTTCCAAAACCTCGGGCACGTGTCAGCCTTCATTATATGTAAGTCTGATTGGTAAACCACCTCGGGACAGGAGAAGTTTTGAGCCGCTGGAAATCCTGAGACTAAGAATTTTATTTTCTATCCCAGACTAAGGAAAATTAAGTCGATAAGTGTTTCAACTCTGTACAGTACAAGTCTGTTTACCATATACAGGTAGAGCAAAATACATAAAACCCAAGACATAATATCAAGAAGACTGGCAACTTTGCCCCAATCCAAACGTTGATGAAAGCGCTTGACAATAAATAGTTATAATAATGCTAAATTGAGGGTATTTCCAAATCATGTTCAACTGTTCAACTATTGTAGAAATTGTCCCCCTTTGCCATTGATAAATAAAAAAAATTAAACCAAATTGATCCCATTTTTCACAAGTAGTTTCACAAGTATTCCACATAGTCTGTGAAAGTTTTAGCCTATTTGATGGAGCTATTCTGATATATTTAAATATTTTTAAAGATAATTAGATAAATTGAACTATTTTAGACCACCTTTCCAATTGCTAAATGAAATACTTTTTTTAAATCAAAACGTTTCTCAATTTTCACAAGTAGTTTACAAGTCTGAGGATATTGAAATTATTGCAGATTAGTATATTCAACAGGAACACACATCGAATTTTCTAAGCATGAATTTAATCCACCATTTTTTAAATCATTTTGGAATTGAATTTTCTGATTTCAATGATTATTAAAACTATACTACAACTACAACTATACTACTAAGATCTACCATTTTAAAAATAATCCGTCATATTGGATTCACTAATGTGAAAATAAACCGACATCTTCAAATTGAAATTGTCATTTCAATAGTGGAATAATCATAATTATGCAACAATATTACACTTAGGATGATCGACTTTTTCATGAAAGACCCGACATCTTGAAACCACTCTTTTGAAATTCATCCGCCTTCTTGGTTCCACCATTATTTTAATTACCCGTCATTTTGAAATTCCACGTCTATCTTTCAATTGTAATTTCTATAACAATATTGGAATAATTATAACTATACTATAATATTGAAAGAATGACTATTTTCTCGAAAACCCACCATCGTAAATCCAAAGCATTGAAAATCAGCCAAAATTTTGGAATTGAAATCTCCAACTTCAATTGTGGAGTTATTATAAGCATACAAAAGTATTATACTTAGAAAGATCTAACACTTTATCAAAGACTTACCATTTTAAATCCACTATTTTGAAAATCGTTCGCCATCTTGGATCCATCATTGAGAAAATAAACGAACATCCAAGAATTGAAATGGCCGGACTTTCCTGAACTTCGGCAGGATTTTCCTTAAGTTCAGAAGGACTTCCCCGACCTTCGACAGGCCTTCCCTGAACTTCGACAGGCCTTCCCTGATGTCCGAGAATTGTAATGGTAGGACTTCCCTGAACTACGGCAGGACTTCCCTGAACTACGGAAGGACTTCCCTGAACTTCGGCAAGATTTCCCTTAAGTTCAGAAGGACTTCCCTGAAGTTCGGCAAGCCTACCCTGAACTAGGGCAAGACTTCCCTAAACTTCAGTAAGACTTCCCTGTTCTTCGGTAAGTCTTCCCTGAACTTGGAATCCATTAGCAGGTAGGGAAAAATTTCCCCTATCTGATGGTAGTGTTAGTATGCGTGGGCGAGCTACCAGTTACGCCAAATCGACGATCAAATGCATTGTTTACGAAAGCTGATACGTCCAGTGGCGTCGCGTCCACATGTGCAACCTGTGCACGACACAGGAGTAAATAATTTTTTAAAAAAATGCGTTTAGATTTCTACACGAAACGAAAATCAATTATTTTATTCATGTGTTTCACTTATACATTTTTGCCAAACATCAGCCTTATACATTCCATAAGACAAACCATATAGGTCCTATAAGAATGCATAAAAGGTATGTGTGACCGCTTATACATTTCATTTGACACATGATCTTCATAAACTTTTTGCAAGGCGTCTGCTTATTAGTTGACTTATACATTTTATGAATAATCAGCAATAGAAATATGCCAAAAGGTATAAGGAGATTTCTATCCGTGTATGGTTACATTATAGCTCTATTTTATACTGTGGCTTAATTGAATCTTCAACCTTGGTTTGCTTCAAAAGGGATTAAATTTAGTTCGGATGGTCTGCCTAATCCCTAATGCATTGATTTCTAAGCATGTCGATATCACTACTACGACAAAACTCGTTAAATAGTGCACCTAAAGCGAGCTTTTTTGGGTGGCGGGTGGCAAGTTTGTGAATGGTCAAATGCCTGATGTAATCCAAGCAGACCTTCTATCACCTCTTGAAACATATGTACCAGAAATTTTCCACAATACAAGGCGGTTTGCACCACTAGTTGTAATTGAAACTTTCAGCTGTCACGCATCAAACGGAAGCAACACGGAAACAGCAGTCTGGTACGCTTTGGACGTGTATCATACTTGCAGACCGGTATGAATGTGTGAGTTTAAATTAGAAGAACATTTGCTTAAAACGTGCATTTCTTGCTGTGCACTTGGATATCTGATTTCAGGCACTGGGTTTAGACTAGGCAAGTCAAATGATCAACTCAGTTGAATTCAATTGGCTTGAAAAGTTGAGCCTGGTTCAACTTTTTTCAATTCAAGTGAGTTGATCAAGTCAGTTGAATGGCATGGTTTACACGTTCAATTCGCGTTCTAGTCAGTTGAATTCAACTGACTTGATCAGTGCTGTAAATTTTCATATCATTCGATTGAAGATGAACCACTACAACCATTCAATCAATTCTGTGTAAACGAATTCTCACATGACCATAATTTGAAGAGCCCCTTTCTCATTCGAAGCTCATTGTCACTGTCAATTGAGTCACTCAGTATCATTTGATATACGACAGTGGAGTATGGAAGAAATCCAGAAAAATGGTCCCGAACAGACAAGTCGACCCGATGTCGGATCAATGTAAGGCTAATTTAAGGTCGATGTCGACCCAATGTCGTGTTAATGTCGGGTCAATTTTGGGTTTATGTCGGGTCAATGTCGGGTCAACATCGGGTTGGGGTTTGATAGAAGTCAGGTTGGTGTCGGGTTGGCTTAGCTTTTTCGCCGGAATGTCGACCAGAGCTCCGTTTGTGTGTAGGTTACACTCAATCGAATGATAGGTATATAGCGTTTCTCAAATGAGAATGATCCATGCCTTCGTCAAATGACTAAGCAACTGATATCACCCATTCGGAGGAGGTCCCCTTTGATAGCGAATAGCTACTTTTCTCATTTTCATCAAAAATGTTCAAATGATTTTGAGAATTTACAGCACTGGACTTGATCAATTGACTTGCCCTGTCTAAGCCCAGCTTAATGGAGAAAGAGAGCGCAAAAGCTCACTCTCACTCTCTTGTCAGTTGTAAATCTCTCAATCAAATCTCTCCGATGGCTGCGCCGGTGCGCCGGTTCTCTAGATTTTGACACTGTTTTGTATCAAAAAATGTTTTCGGAAGTGTTTGACGGATATTCTCGATATTCTTCATTACGCTTCAGTCGAAAGATAACTCTTCGACTTCCTTGTGATAAAAACGAGAATTAGTTAATGTCGTTTTCGTTTTTGCGGTGTAGCTACACCGGTGCTACACTGCCGTACACCGAAATATTTTAGGGTGTAGATATAGGATGCACCTTTGTTTATGAACAAATGATGTTGAGCTGTCAAAGACTCGCGCTTATTCCTGCTTACACTACACCAGTGCTACACCACAAAAACGAAAACGACATAAGTTTTGCAATTCATCCTACTTCGGTTAACGCGAAAAGGGCCATACAAGTTTTGTTTACACAAGACGATAGGCCCTTCAAATGTTACGTTACGTAGTGATTAATATAGTAATAGAGAATATGTCCTTCGAATTCATGGAGCGTTGAAAAAAAAACAAAAACTAATATGTGGTGGTAAACTATAACGAACAAAGTTTGGTGCACAGGTAAACAAATGAGGCACGCGACGCCTCTGCATCGTCCCTTTGAAAAAGTTATCGAGAAATATTATAATTATACAATAATATTGTATTTACGAATATGCTCAAAATTTCAAAACTTCCCATTTTACTAATTTGCAATGCTTGTAGGTATTGGTGCATTTTGAATTTGGGTGTGGTTCGAACGAGTGTGGGGTCAATATCAACGGAAAAGCATTAACTTTCACCTTAAACAAGGCTGATAGTGGTATGAAATTTAAATAACTTTTGAAATGAGAGCCAAAGTTTTACCGAACGCTGTTCAAAGTTGGGTAATAAATTACCGAAGTCGGTAATAATTTCTAAGTGTGTAGGACATCCAATGATTGGATTTCGCCCAATGGAGATAACGTGTGGTTTTGTTTCAGTGTACGATAGCAGCCAGTACGACGCGGCCTCGGATTTAGGCGACATTGAGGACCCGACGGCCGGTCGCTACAAAGAGCCGGAGTTCAACAAGGTTCTGATCAATCGAACACGACCGGAACCATGCGATCACGTCATCACGTTATACGAACAGAACAACGACGCCGATCCGGCCGTGTACCGGAAGGATTCTCATCAGTGCGAGAGGTTTGTAGGATTGCCATTGTTAAGTTTATAATCTTCATACTGATCTGATGTGGGAAAATTTGTTCATGATTGATCGTAGACCCTACGTGGTGATGCCAATCCCGTTTAGCAACATGATCCTACTGGTTCTGGACACGCTGTGTCCGGTGCCTTCACAAGTCCACGTTACCACGTGGCCCGTCGAACACGACTACAATGAAAGCTTGGCGTGTCACAAGGTGCACAACGTCGAACTTCCGCGGAGACGACCGCTCACCTGTATCAATAAACATGCGAATGTAAGTCTTTTGTGCAAAAACTAGACTCAAATGTCTTAAATTTTAATTTCTTTTTTTTCCCTGTCATAGGAAAGTGTAATCGAACTGTGCGGCCGAGGATCGCCATTGGTCGGATCCAGCTGGGCACTGATAGGGACCGTCCTGATTCTGGGACAGCTGATGTACATGGATCGCGATTAAGGCGTAATGGCGCTTTAAAGGTTATCCAACCAACATACATTTTTTCGTGCTTAAGTTTTCCTCGAAAGAGCGAATCGCGGGTTTTACATTTGCCGTTGTAAAGAAGATGAAAAATAGGAGCGACGAAGACGATTATACCATATACAAACTTTTAATAGTTGCGATAATAAAGAAAATACTGAGAGCTTTCAACCCGGGTCATTTGCTACTGGTGAATTTGTTCGGATGCTAGGAACATTCAAAAACGAATCAACCAATCAAACTCGCCACTAGCAAACATCCTTCCGAATAAAAAAAAAACGAACAAGTCTCAACAATTCATACTTATTGCTACAATTTGATTGTTACTTTCAATTTTCAATAAGAGAGAAATTTAAGTATCACTTCAACCAATAAAAAAAGCGTTATATTTAGTACAATAACCGCTGCTAGAACCATTAAATAAATTTAGCAAAATTCTGTTACTCAATTTCACAAGATTTTTAAACAAACAAAACCCAGTGCTACTGAAACGAGAAAAAAAAGTCTATACACATTTTGTTATCGAATTAATACTAACTAACAGTTCTTATAGAATTAACCAATCTCATCTCTTGTACAAAGCAAAATAACGAATATAGAATGAAAGTAGGAAAAGAACAGGCGGAATAACGGAAGAGGCCAAAAAAGGACACTATACCGTAGCTGGTTGAAGTGTCATCCACGATAGATAAAATGGACCAGGAATAGGTTATGTTTATGTTTCCACACGTCCTTTGGTTAATGTGAAATTACAAGTTGAAAAAGGATGAAGTTCACTCACACCAAGTAGGAGGCTTTACGAATTTAAGTAAAGCTCTCTCAAGATCGAGAGACACTCGATTTGGTACGGAAGTCATCCAGATTATTATAAACTTATATTTGAGTTACCTTTGACCAGATTATTGTTACATTCCGTTGTTGAAAGTATAGATTGAATTTGACTGGACACTTAAATGAAACAAAAATGTAATTAACTAGAAAAACTTTCTACGTAATTAGAACTCACTTTATCGTTGGTAATTTAGTTTGGGATCGATTGTTGCCGTTGTTGCTTTTGTATGGCTTTCCTAATAGATTCGATTTAGGGAGAGAACAAATGAAAAAAAGAAATCTAGATGAATGACTCAGTTACGAAAAAAAAAAGAACGAATCTGTGGAATAGAAATCAACTCTTGTAAAAAGACTCGTCAATCACTAGGTAATACTGAATAAAAACAAAAATCGAATGAAAATTTTCTACTGTTGTAAATTTAAAACTTGAAGAAAACAAAAAACAAGCAAACCCAAAGTGACTAAAAACGAATGAAACAATTTTTCAAATTTATAACAAACTTTTTTCCAACAATAAGCAAGAGCAAAATCGCTGAAGACGAACCTTTTTCCCCGCCCCAGTCTCCGATTGCTGCGCAAATCAGATCTTACGCTAGCTAGCTGAAAACGGCAAGCAAGTGCTAGTAGTAGCTTGAAACAAATCTATGAACAACTACATAGTGTAATAACTAAATAATAAGCAACTAAAACAAAGCCAGGCGCGAACACTGGAAACACTACAACAAGAAGAACAAAGTGAACACGGTGGTGAGGCACACAGTAAACTTAATTCTAGTTATTATAAAGCGAATCTAGCAGAAAGAAAACTGATTTTTTTCATTAAATTTTTGGTAATAAAATCTGTGATAAAACTAACACCGAAATCGTTTCATTTTCATTTCACCGTCCATTACCCCGACGTACAGTGCTAATTAAAGTGAACATTAGACATTTCCGTTCGGTTGGTTCATAAAACAGTCGCCGATAGTTTACTCCAAAGTCACTTCATCATGAACCGTCCCGGTCTACGAACCGTGCTGCTGCCACTACTACTACTGGTACATCCCCCTCCGGCTATCAGTCAAAACTTGTTCGGCCTAGCCCCTAACATCGGCAACGTGGGTAAGAAGAAGCTGGTCGTTCATCGGGTAGGTCAATGCCTGGGCAAAAAGGATCTCCCGATTTTCGCACCGGATATGCGTATCGCGCCATACAACGCCACCAACAACGCTGTCAGTGGGATAATCGAGTTCCGGGAGGATTTCCTCAACGGGTGGGACGTGTCGGCTTCGGTGAAGAAGTGTGACGACTTTCGGGCATCGGACAGCTGTCGGCCCTTTCTGAATAACCTGGCCAACTCGAACCAATGCATGATGCTAGGGCTTAGCGACATGATGTGGATGAAGTATCTGACCAACATGAGCCCAAAAGCCGAATGTCCCTTCCGGAAGGGCATTTACACGTACGGAGAAACGCTGGTCGACGATAATTTGGTCAAGTATGGCTTGTTGTAGGATCAATTGCCTACCGTAGTTCATCAAGCAACACGCTTTGTTTTTTTTTTCAGGTATATGCCAGGAAGTGGCCATAGCCATTGGGAGGTCGAGATCACCGGGAAGGTCAAGAACCGTCAGGTTTTGTGTATCATAATGCAACTCCACGTGCGGCCTAAGAAAAACTAGATTTGGAATGAAGGGTGCTCTATCTTGCAATACATTAATAACCCGATTTTGTCGGTCCCCATTTTGAAAATCTTGTCTAATATTCTGCACCACCTTAAACATCCATCTTGAAGATGAATGAGAACGATTTGGAATTACGGTTATGTGAAATTATTGAAAGATAAAAGTCTGGTATAACATTCAATAAATAAACGGGAGTGACCCCGGCGTAGTGGTTAGCATCCATACCTCTCACGCCAAAGTCACGAGTTCAAATCGCACCCCCAGACAAGTCACATTTTTTTTTGACATTTAAATGATCTTTATTTCTTGTATTTGTTTGGTTTACATGTATGGATTATCAAGTGACACAGATGCGTCTTTTCAACTTTAGTACATTTGAAATTTTAATTATTATTTACAGTTCCTAGTCCTATCAGGCCTGTTATTAGAGTATGACCACCTTCGTGGGATTGGTTTGTTTTGAATTTGAAAAAGGAGACTACTTATAACTACTATTTACAACTACAATTAACCTGTAACTACTATATAAACCTAACCTACTATATACAAATTGCTTATCAAAGCATGTTCTGATGTATTGCATTTCTACATAAACCTAGTTTTAATGTCATTAATTTTGAAATCTAATTTTGGAATGTTCGCCTCTTGGTGGACGTCTGAAATTCTTGGGTCAAAGAGTCGATAAAGGATCATTCTAAGCAGTAAGCACTCTGTTCTGAGCAACCTGGATTTTGTTCCTGTGAGTCTGAGCACATGATTCCCACACCGGAGCTGCGTAGAGGATTGCAGGTGCTATAATTTGCTTTTAGACAGCCAGTTTGTTCACCCTTGAGAGGTGGGATCTACGGCAAATCAGCGGATACAGACACCTAACCAAGGCGGAACACTTGATTACGGTTTTCACCACATGCGCGTGGAATGGGAGCTTTTCGTCAAACAACATCCCGAGATAGGTTACTTCGGCGGACCACTCAACCCTTGTGCCATCCATGATTACAGTACAAGAGGGAGCTGGTTTTAGTTTGGTAGATTGTCGATGGAGGAACATTATTGTTTGGGTTTTGGAAGCATTAATTTTAATTTTCCACTTGGGTTTTCTCGCTTTCCGAGGAGTTGTAGAATCGAGAAAGAACACATGATTCATCATGTTTGGAAAATTGCAAGCATCAGAAGATTTGGCGCTATCTGCGTGGTTTGGTTTTTTCTCCCGGACCAAAAAATTGTGGCATCGCGAGTGAAAGTTTTAATTTCAGTTTATTTACGCGGTGATGAGAACGGCGCTACCGGTGGTGTAGTGGTAAGCTTGATTACCTCTCACCCCAGCAGGCCTGGGTTCAATCCCAGTCGGCGCCGCCGGGATGTTCTGAGGCATAACATCTCTGATCACGCCTTCCTTCGGATGGGAAGTAAGCCGTTGGTCCCCGGTTCATGAGTTGATGGGTCGATAGGTAGGGTCCAGGTGTGGGAGCTGCCTTCCTGGCACGTCGGTAGCATTGGTGCTCAGCACGGAAAACAAGATCAACGGAAAAAAACAAACCAAAGGAGAACGGCGCTGATCTATTGTTAGGGTTTTGCGATGTGCATTGCTTTTGTGCACGGAGTGACTTGAAAAAGAAAAGCGAAGAAAAGTGATATTTGGTTGTTGTGTGGTTGGAGTCGCTGGAGAAGTTTGTTTAGGGATGACTAGAGAAAAATATGCGTGGAAGCATCGGGAATGCGCTCCCGGGTGTAGTGATTTGGTGAGTATGTTCCAGTTGAAGATTGTTGAAAAGTGTATTTGTGGTGATGCAAATTATGGTTTAGATGACGCATGGCTTTTTTTTTAAAGCTTTATTAAAGAGATGTTTAGCCTTAGGCTGGTTCACCTCTAATGACGCATGGCTTCAAACATTTTGTGTATCCAAATAAAACATATTACATACTAAATACGGACAGGGCATCGTCTGCTGACCATTGCCGCGGGTATAACGTGGGAGTCCCAGGTACCCGGTTCAAGCTTTAGTTGGCGGCGGTGGCTCTTCTTGACCTTCTACCCCCTGAGTAGTTTTCTACCCCCTGCGTAGTTAGTGTGAATAAGGGCGTCTATGTGATGTTTTGCTGTTCCTGTTGTGGACATCTAGTGCATCCTGCTCCCTTAAATTGTTGGGGACACCCTGTCTTACCTCAAAAGTAACCCTTTTTGAAGTACTAGTCTGCACAACATAAAGGGCACCATTACGGAGCATGAGATTTGATCAAATTATTCGCAGTTCTACTTGTCCAAAGCCCCCGGCTGGGATAGAGGATGACACACACACACATTGATTTTAATTTTCCACCACTAGAGTGCACAGGAATCTTTTTAAGGAGGGGCAATTTTTTTTTTCTATGGTGCATTTAATCTGGGGAAGGGGAGTACTCCAAAGTGCATCACTGTTTCGCTAGTGTTCAATTTAGCTCATTTTATTTATTTTTTGCTCCGGTGGTGGTTCATCTTCTGCAATGCCAACTGTTTTCAGACAGCCAATGGAATTGGCAATTTAATCTCATCGACGATGTCGATGATGATCGGTTCGTCAAATGGTTGCAATAGTAGGGCTTTAACCGAAATGATACTTAGACGAATTCTTAGTAAGATAACAATAGACCAAGGTTCAATGGCAAACTAATACCCACTTTTCAATTAGGGAATCCAAAAGCTGTCTTTTAACTTGCGGTACAGTTGCGAAAAAGTCCATCCTCAGAATTCCTTGAGGTTCCTTTCGAAATTTTTAGAACTCTATGAGCTCTTTTAAAATATTTCTCAGGAAACCTCTGGATTTATTTTGAGAACTCTTCTTGACTTTTACTCAGAACACCTTGGAACTGAAATTCCCTTAGAGTTTCAGAAGAACTTCCTCAGTATTATCCTGAAATTATTCCCGGAATGAGCTAGAACTTATCGGTATTTCCTTGAAATTTTCCTCAAAATCCATTCCGAATTCACTCAGAAAGTAATTTTCTCGGTATTCTTTTCGGAATTATCTTGAAACTATCTGCAGCATTCACTCGAAATTATTCGCAGAATTTTCTTGGAATACTCCTCACAAATACTTTCGAACTGTCTCGGATATGTTTAGAACTCTTTTAAGAGCTCTTTTGAAATTCTTCTCAGAAGTCCACTGGAATTATACTAAGAATACTTCATGATTTTTCTCAGAACACCTTGGAACTGAAATTCCTTTAGAGTTTCAGAAATTTTTCCCGGAATGAGCTAGAAATTATCCGCGGAATTCGCTTGAAATTTTGCTTAAAAACCCCTTTGGAATTTCCCTCAAAATTTGATTATCTCGGTATTCTTTTCAAAATTATCTTGGAACTATCTGCAGGAAGCACTAGAAATTATCCGCAGAATTTTCTTTGAATTCTAAAAATTAAATATCCTTGAGGTTCTTCTCGGAATATTTCTGGACTTTTTTTTTTCTCAGAACACCTTGGAACTGAAATTCCCCTAATGTTTCAGTAGAATTTCCTCTGTATTCTCCAGAAATTATTTCCAGAATGAGCTTGAAGTTTTCCTCAACATCCCTTTGGAATTTCATTCAAAATTTGATTCTCTCGGTATTATTTTCGAAATTATCTTGGACCTATCTGCAAGATTCACTACAAATTATTCGCAGAATTTTCATGAAATCAATCTCAGATTTTTTTTCTTTTGGAACTGTCCTCAGAATTCAAGTTTAAGTTCTCCGTCCATTCACCAAAACGTTGTAGTATTTTTAACAGAAATGTTAAATAAAGCTTGCCCCTCCATTCAACAACACTGTGCAATTTTCACATCAGGAATTTTCAGTTCAGCTTGCTCCTCCATGCAGCAGATTGTTGCAAATCTTAACCCAAAAATTTTCAATGCAAACTTGCCCGCAGGTAATTCTACACCAGAAAATTTCAATTGACCAGAACGATGCAAATTTTCCACCGTTAATTTTCAATAAAAATTGCTTCTCGAATCTTCTGATTGGTGCACATTTCTTTTTTTTTTCTTTTTCCACCAGACATTTTCAATATAGATTGCTTCTCCTATCATCAGAATGTTGCAGGTCTGCCACCAAATAAAGCTTGCCTCTATTTTTAGATTTTTCATAATAAATTTTCAGTAAAGCAGCTTCCCTCTAATCATCAGAATGGTGTAGATTTTCCACCAGAAATTATTATTGAAATTTGTTTCTCTATTCAGCATATGCAAATTAAACACCAAAAATATTCAGAAAAGCTTTCCCATCCGTTCACCAGAACGGTGTAGATTTTCCACCAGAAATTTTCAATATAGCTTAATTTTGAATAAAGCCTGTGTCTTCATTTACCTGACCTGTGCAAGTTTACCACCAGACATTTTCTTTTAATTTCATTTATCAGAGCAATTCAAATTTTGCATCATAAATTTTCAGTAAAGCATGCTCCTCCATTCACCACAACGGTGCAACAAAATTGTCAGTGAAGTTTGTTTCACCATGCACCTTTGTGGTGCAATTTTCAGACTTTGCCTCTTCATGTACCAGAATGGTGCAAATTTTCCACCATAAATTGTCAATGAAGCTTGCATTCATCAGAACGATGCAAATTATGCACCAGAAATGAATAAACCTTGATTTTACATTCACCACAGTTATGCGAACTTTCCACCAGAAATTTTCAGTTAATGTGCACCTCAAAATTTTTGGCGTGATTCAATTTTTCCACCAGAGTTATTCATTTTGATTAGTTCCTTGATGATATTTTTACACCAGAAATATTCAATAGCAAGCTATTTCTTCGATTTACCATCACGAAGGTGAATTTTTTCAACATTAAATTTACCCTCTTCTTTTAACCCTCCATGAACACTCTTGAAAAAAAAACACCAGAATTTTTTGTATGCACCACTCCACTGTGCTGCAATGTTTTTACCAAAAAATTTCATTGTAGTTGGTCCCTTCATGCACCTTTTGTAGTGCTATTTTCAGGCACCATCTCAAAGGTTTTCAGTGCTCTTATATTATGAAATGA